AAAAAATAAGAACCAAGAGACTCATTAATGGTACAAGATCCCAATGATGAATGTAACTGTATTTTATACCTAAAATGTACCAATAAAGTTAATGGGGGAAAAAAAAAAAGGACCCAAGTTCAATCCCTGGTTCCTTTGCGGCTGGGGATTTAGCTCAGTAGTTATAGAACCTGCCACGCAAAAAAAAAACAAAAACAAAAAAACACCTTCTGTCTAGCAAAGGAAACAACCAACAGAATGAAGAGACAATCTACAGAATGGGGAAAAAAATTGCCATCTATTCCTCAGAAAAAAGACTAATATCAAGAATACATAAAGCAGGCCGAGGATTTAGCTCAGTGGTTCCGCCGTCTTCTGCGCAAGCACAAGGACCCAAGTTTGATCCCAGGTACCAAAAGAAAAACAAAAGAATACATAAAGAACTAAAAAGAATTAGACCTCCCAAAATAAAAAACCCAATCAGAAAATGGGCAACTAAAATGAACAGACACTTCTCAGAAGAATAAGTACAAACGGTCAATAAATACATGAAAAGCTGTTAAACATCTCTCTGGCCATTAGAGAAATGCAAATTTTTTTAAAACTGAGGTTCTATTTTATCTTACTCCAGAAAGACTGACTATCATCAAGAAATCAAATAATAGAGCTGGGGATTAAGCTCAGTGGTTCTGCCGCCAGCTGCACAAGCACAAGGACCCGAGTTTGATCCCTGGTACAAGAAGTGATACTTTATCAAAGACAAGTCCCAAGAATGTCAGTGTTATGTGGGGGGCAAAATGCAAAGACCTTGGGTAAGAACATGGTTCTGTCAAATCTTGGCTGTGGCAGGTGAGCTTTGGGAAAGATATTTAAAATTGAGCCACAGATTCCTATATAAGATGGACTAGAAATCATATCTACAAACTAAAATTTGGGGAATAATAAAAATAAGGTATGGTGGGTGAAAGTGCTTGGCACCATGCCTAAAACACAAGAAGTGTTCAATAGTTATTTTTGTTTCACTTTAAGAGTTACCTCAGACGCCCTACAGAGGTCCCGAGTCACGCGGGAGACGCCAAATCAGCCCGCTGCAGACAGGCAGGTCTGTGCACACCCTACCGAGGTCCCGAGTCCCACAGAAGACACCGAATCACCCCCGCTGCAGGCAGGCAGGTCTGCCCATGCCCTACTGAGGTCCTGAGTGGCATGGAACACACCGAATCAGCCCACTGCCTACAGGCAGGTCTATGCACACCGTACCGAGGTTCCGAGTCATGCAGAAGATGCCAAATCACCCCACTGCAGACAGGCAGCCACCTGGTTCCACACTACAAAGACGCAGAGGACACCAGACCACCAGACCAAGGTAGTGAGTCCCGCTGTTCCCGGCCCAGAGGTAGGGGCTTCTGAGCCACTGGCCCACTGCTCCTGGTCCAGAGGAAGGGGCTTCCCGGTCACCATACCTCCCGCTGCTCCCAGCCCAAAGGAAAGGGCTTTTGGGCCACCTTCTGTCCCGCTGCTCCTGGCCCAGAGGAGGGGGCTTCAGGGCCACCATCCCTCCCACCACTCTGGGCCCAGAGGTAGGGGCTTCTGAAGCGTCATCCTACTGCTCCTGGTCCAGAGGAAGGGGCTTCCAGGCCACCATCCTTCCCACTGCTCCCAGCCAACAGGAAAGGGCTTTTGGGTCACCATCCCTACTGCTGCTCCTGGCCCCTGTCCCACCTC